CCATTGCTATTAAGTTGGAGGCCATCGCTATGAGGTTGGAGGCCATTCCTATTAGGTTGGAGAAAGAATGAGAAAAAAAAAACACGAAGACCTCCTCTCTCGGTCCGTCGTCGCCTGGTTGTGGCTCACCAGGAGGACACCCCCGCGGAAGCTCCGCAGCGCACGGCTCAGAGCATCCACCTAAGCTCAGGGAGTTCAGGGAACTCAGGGGTGTTCGATCGCGTTCTGTTTTTCTATGTCAGCATTTGCTGGGACGGTTCCATGACTTCCACATCGACATTTGACCTCCGATATTTTCTGCCGATATTTTACCGGCATGGAGGGCACACCTGCACTGCCTGTCCTGTGTGCATGAGCCAGTGACACCCGTGATGCATGCAAGCAAACGGTGTAAACCAAAGCACTGGTACACTCCGAGCTCTTCGTCAGGGTCTTTGCAGGTCGCCCGCGTGCAACATGAATGACACAATGTTCAGGGCTGGGGAATCAACATGAATCAAATGACTCAAGATTGCATCAATGTGACGACATGTTGAGATCTTCATATCATCTTTAATCATCTTCTGCTTCTTCAGTGCATCAAGTCCCATCTTCCTGGGCCTGTGGCCCTCCGAAACTCTGAACACCAAGATACTAAAATAGAGACAACACCGATTTCCTTTCGCGATTTGCCCCTGTAGCGAAAAACATACACCCACTTGCTTGAAAAAAGACAACATATATATAATGTGCACCACCCCCCCAAAGAATGTAATACACCATACATAGATAAAGCATTATCTCACGCCCACGCACGATCTGGATCTTCCTTGATCCTTCGGTCTCAGCCTCTTTGCGCCTCTCAGCACGGTCCTACGCCTCGCTGAGCTGTCCCGACGGTTTCGAAGTCCAAGAAGTTCGTGGGTTCGTCCAGGCACAGGACCTGCGACTGCGAGGCTGCATTCGACGGTTACGCGCAGAGACGGACTCTCGCTTCTCTCAATTTTGGAGCTAGTTAATCTCTTTTGGTTCAGAAGGTGCCTTATTTGGGGGTTGGATGGTCAAGGAGTCAATTGTGTTCTTTTTGTGGTTGTCATTCCTGTAGCGGATGAAAAAGAATATTCCTGCAACATCCTGTAGGATATTTGCCGACTTCAGCTTTTTTGACAAGCTGGACAGCGCTGCCAGTTTTTGCTACATTATGTGCGAATCAAATGAGCGGATCGAAAGAGTCTCGTTGGGTGTTTTCAACAAGAAAACCCAAAGATCGATACAGGTGGCTAACCCCAGATCTGATACCCTCTGAGCTCCCAAACTAATTGGTTGCGGGCGGACATAGGTCGTCCAAATTCAGGCATGGTCCCCTACATCAATGAACACCAGCAACAATTGCTGACCAGCCGACAGGCTTTGAAACTGATGCAGTTCACACCCGATGTTGTCATAGTTGGAGGAGTGCCAAACCAATGACATCCAATGACCAAACATGTGCCCAGGAACAAGGCTTGCCAGGGCAGCCATGTATCTCCACAGACTGAGGAATAAACATTTGATGATAAAGGGATACACATCCACAATGTGTCGCTCCTCTATATCACTGATAGTGACACAAATCCCCTCATCCACCAGGATGCAAAGGGGGTACACAGCCACCATGCTTCCCCCCAAAAACTTGTTCCTCACCCTTTCCACCTGCCTTTGCAAAACCGCCCTGCAGGGTATTCCGCCCCCATGTGGCGGCGTCCCCTCCGTTACTCCAAGGCACGTGCGGCTTGGTCCAAGCAGCGGCGGCGATGAGCAGCTTGGACTTCTGACCACCAGAGAGTTGGCCTCGGTCATCGCAATTGAATGGAGTGCAGTGCAAAGAAAAGAAGAAGACCAAAAAAGCAAAGAGCGATGGCCTCCAACCTCCTAGCGATGGCCTCCAACCTAAGAGCGATGGCCTCCAACCTAAGAGCGATGGCCTCCAACCTAATAGCGATGGCCTGCAAGGAACTGCACGGAAGAAAATGAGTATAACACTGGGTTTGGACGAAATCCTCTCTTGATTTGACAGCGTTCAGAAAGCCGTATCTGTTTCAGCAAAGGGATTGTGGAATAGGGGATGATCCGGGAAGACCCAAAGCCTTTCAAAAGCAAGAGGTCTGTGTCCCTTACCCCTCAGTTTCTCACTTGGCTGGTCTCGAGACACTCTGTTGGTATCTAGCTTCACGGGGAGACAAGTTGGTGGAAAACATATTGTTGGGCTGGCTTGAAGGGTTTCACTGTATATATATCTATATAGTTGTCCAAATATAGGTGGTGTTTGATGATTTGAACTTGTAGTGATGGTTAAGCTCCATTCCTCGTTTAGCTTGTTGAGACTATCAACTTGTTCACAATCAGTGATGCTCCCTGCATCCACTCTGATCACATGGGCGTCCGCGCTGATGGGTTGCTTTGTGGACAAATCCTCCGACAAGCCAAAACCTTCCAAGTGCCTGGAAGCGGCGGATGACAAAGAAAGCAAATCGGTATTAGGGCGCCCAATAGCGATGGCCTCCAACCTAGTGCAGGGAAGCAGCGGATAACAAAAAAGACGCTGCTCCTTAAAAACACTGACAATCTGACACCTCTCGACATCGAGATCCACCTATTGAAGCTAGCTTCTGCGAACGCCCGGTGCTTCTGGCCTACAACATGGGCGGTGCATCCACTTCCCCACTTCCTGAAAAAAAACAAACAACAACAACATTCCTTCAATTTCTTGACCCTCAAATACCTCTTTCACCAACCGCCCAACATCTTTTGAGTAGAGCTAGACTCGCCAGCCTTCTCGACCCAATGACCACGGCTCCGGTTTGGTGTCACCACGCTTCACGGTCGTTTGGACCACGGCCTCTGGATTTCCCGGCGCGTCAACGGGCGATCGTCCTGGAGTCGGCACGGTGGAGATGTCGAGGGTGTGGCTTCACACGATCACTTTGGCTTACAGTAAAACGTTCGGCCTCAGAATGAGGGCTGCATGAGAAATCCTAGGGGTTGTGTGTTTGTGGACATGTTTGCATTTCTAGGCCAGAAACGCCATTACCAAAACCGAACAATCACATCATCATAACCCGGAACAAAAGGATTATCGAACAAACATCATGATGGAATACATTGCAATTATATTGGATTAGCGGATTTCACCCGGAACAAATCCGATTTCAACCCGTTTCTAACTCCGTTGTCCCGAGGCATCGCTCCGCCCGGTCCGAATCGACCCCAACGGCCAAGCGTTCATCCAGGGCGGTGGCGAACCTGGCGGTTTCATCCGTTTTGACGCCGGTGGTTTTGAGACAAAGTTATTTTCACGCAAAGAACACATTGAAAAAGAATGACATACAGATATAGAATTCTTGTTCCCCTCGAATCAAAGTCAAAGCCTCAAACACATAGACGTCTCGCTGCAAGGTCGTCCGATAGGAACCCTACCCACCCAGTCAACACCTACCCTAGTTACATAACATTATATAACAGTTCATGCATTACCCTTGCCAAGCATAACTTCTCTGAAGCTGGCTGCTCGCTTTGTTGTTTTCACCTTTGTTCGATCGGTCTACGCAAGTCAGCACTGCGGCAGATTGCAGCTCATTCACGACACGTGAACCTGTCAGCAGTATGGCAGTATGAGATATGCCACCTCCTGCCTCCTGCTACGTCCTGCCACGTCCTGCTGACTCGAAAAAACGTGTCCCGCACCTCTCCACACCTAGCTGTCGCAACTTGCCGATCGACTCGAAGGTGTTTTGCTTCTCCGCCAGGTCTTGCCACTTCACCTCGGTCTCCCAGCAAATGGCGCGGAGTCGTCGCGGAGTCGACGCCTAGGAATTCTGGAGTTTGAAAACAGAGTGTCAGACTCGGTTCTCTTTTTAGCGTGTGATGGCCCGAACATGCTGCCATGTTAGGCTCCGAAGCAGCACTGCCAATGTTCACATTATTTAAGCCACCGCTTGTTCATATACATGACATGTGGGCAATATTATCTGATCCTAATCACGAGCATTGGACTGTGTTTTTGTAGGAGCATCCCTTCGAGCCTCGTATCTCCAGTCGTTGCGCTGCTTCCGTCTGGAGACCACAGCCTGCAGGCTGTCAGGCTGAAGGATCTCATACCTGGAGGTCTCCAATTCAACCAGCAACCAGCACAAAGTGTACACATTCTCCCATCTTCACTTCGGTATATCACAGTCCCAAATGGCCCACCAGTCGGAGCCTCCACTTGTTTGCCATACTTGCCTTGGGGAGCCGAAGACTGGATGGCAGTTCACGTCCCTAGGTTCCAATCCAAAAGGATTCACCTGCCTGTCTTTCTGAGCTTTTGACACACCCACAAAAACAAGATCTTTTGCAAGTCGCCACAAAAACAAGAGAGGACACACCACTGACACACCACTACATGTGTCATGAATCTGCTCTAAAACACACCTCACTTTCTTGGGACTCATCCCAACCTCAGAGTGCTATTGTAGCTACTAGTGGTCACAATGCGAGGTCCACTTGGTCCATAAAAAATGCCATAAACTGCTAGGCCGTACTACTAGGAGCAAGGACGCTACTAGTAACAAGAAGCTATTAGTAACTACTTGCTAAGATTAAAATTTATCGCGGCCGAAGCCCGGCTCCCCGGCCGAAGCGCGCGCCCAAGCGCTGCAGGAGCGTTGCCTCGGCGTCATCCGGCGGAGCCAAGAGCCTGGCGTGCGACAGTGGACCAAAGACACTGCAGCGGTTTAGTGCTGGTATCCAATAGAATAAGAAACAAAACAATTCAAATAATAGAACACATGTTATATACTTATAGTTTCTTCTAGTGACTGTTGCTGCAAGAAATAGGGATAGAAAGAGATACAAAATGATACAGCCAGTCTGATAGACCTCAAGTGCTTTCAACAAGAAACATGCAACTCTATTGCTGTTTTTTACCGAGCAGTTGTGAGTTCTGCTTTTCTCAATGAACACAATTTGAGGTTGACGAGCTAACCGTCCCCCCACCGCCCAGGGCCCCGAGATCCACCTCTTTTGCAGCTCTTCATCATAGCCTTGTCTTAGGGTTCCCTGCTTCGCTCGAGGGTGAGACGAAACAGTTGTATAAGGTTCCCTTAAAACAAACAGGTCTGGGAACCAAATCATTAGTGCGAGCGCTACTTCAAGGAAGCTCCCCGCCGCCCTCAGGCGGGGGGAGTTTCCTTGAAGAAGTGTGATCTATCCTGTGTCCAGTATCTAGGAGCGTTTTCCCTTAATTAAGTAGGCTACTACTTAATTAAGGGCGGGCTAAAGACATAGAAAACAACAACAACAACAACAACAACAACGGAATAAAACGAATGGAATACAGCGGTCCATGAAGGTCAATGAGGAAAACATTCCAAAAGCCATGTGGCTTCATGACTTGAAGGCGAACACTGAGGACCTGGCCATTGCGGTAGCGCACTTGGATGTACTCCTCTGCCGTGCACCTCTTGTTGTTGACAAGAAGAACATGGTGTGTTGTGAGAACAGTGTGGCTGATTTGAAGTGTGTATACTCGAGTGTCTTGATACCGACATGAAATGAGGCACCAAAACAAGTACCTAGAGTTCTCGATGCCCGACCTCATGAGATATCATGAGACCTACAAATGAGCATGAACACGCAACGACTAAACTGTGCAAGTGGACAGAAAACACCAACCTGTGCAAAAGTATGCAAAAGTCGATATCATCGTATACCAGCTTTCACTTCACATTCCAGGACCAATGTCCCCCTTCAGCAAAAGTATCACGTCTTCAGCAACATGAATCAAATCATTCCAACTTCCAACCAACGTGCATACAGATTTGGCCGAACCAACTTCCGTTGCCGTGAGCGAACTAAAAAACCGCCCTTGGGATACTGTTCCATGAAAGAAATTTGACACATTATGAAACACATGGTCTAAAGACGTCTAAAGACCCTCGTTCAGAAAACGTTGGGATTGCCATCTGTAGTCTATGTCTGTAGTCTGTAGCTATTTGTGAACTAGACCCCTAGTATAGTTCACTCGTTGGGAGGGCGCCCTCATTCTTCGAACTTAACCAACGAGCGCCGAGCGCACTCACACATCGGTACCTTGAAACTGGTACCCAAACGCCTCAGTCGTGACTAAACTCTCTCACACTCGGACCTGCTAGATGCATGCACACTGAGTGATCTATCAGTCAGCTGCATGTATGAACCCAGGCGGACTCATCTTGGTGCAAGGCCGAAAACGGGCTTGCTTTGACCCCCCACAAAGACGATCTGGTCACTCCCCCTAGTGGCCAGAGCCGTGGGTTCCCTCACTTGGCGTAGTCGGCTAAATGGAACCTCAGTTATGTGGTGATGCAAGGCAGCTTGGGCCACGACATCGACATCCATGGAAAACCCACACGACATCCGTGTCGATGAACAACACACGTCTAGATGTCCCGGTGGATGTCCTTTGAGGGATGCAGGAAATCCTTCAGATCGATTCAATCCTTCAGAAGGAAACATCAATTCTACTACCCCCTTCCCAACTCTTGTCTCAATTCGAAAACACCGCTTTATCTTCAGGTTGGCCATCAAAGGTCGTTGGGAATTGAGCCAGGAAATCTGAAGGAGGCATAGAAAATAAACAAACGACTGATCCTAGAATTGGAAAAAGCAAAGCACCTATCAACAGACCTGATTCTATAGAGGTCGCAACAAGTATATCAAGTATCAACCATTGGCTTCCCGGCGCGTGGGACTGCGCCACATAGGCCAGGCGAAGGCTCCTTTTTCGCTTCACGTCCAGAATTCTCGAAACAACAACGGAGCACTGCAGAACCACGTGGTTCTGCGGTTCTGCGCTCCTGTGCTGCTGAACTTCTCCGACCTGGCCCGTCTCATCCGCGCATGGCCTGATCGCCAATTCCCGTTCTCGATGAAAGGAAGTCGGTCGCGGCGCTTGATCCGATCAACGATGGATCAGTTCAAATGTTCGGGATTCTCGGTTTTACCATGTTTTACCTCAGTCTTGGGGAAAACAGGCCGGAGTATGTTATATATATATATACATGGTTATTGACAAAAACAATGAAATGATGAGATACTCCCCCAAGCCAACCTCGGATGGGTGCAACTTGAATCTTGCTATTGCACATCGTGCAACGTAAAGAAAGTTTGCCCAACACAAAAGATGCATACAAAAGATGTGTATATATATAATATATTTACTTATTTACAGTACTTATTTTGTCTTGCTGCTCAACATACACTTTTGATTGAGCAATGACATGCAATATTAACGCACATCTTTTGTGTTGCACAACCCCCGGCTTAATTTGGTTGTCTTACATGTGTTTACACACGGGCCGGGGTGTTTCACAAAACACAACCATATCCCAAACCTTCCTTGACCAAACGAGATAGGCAGGTCTTTGAGAAACGATTCGTTCGCACTCTTTCTGCATGCAAACCTTCGGTGAACTCCACCAGACCATCCCAGGGGCAGGTGCCGCGTCATTTCTATCAGCAAGATTGGCCGCCACTTACTAGAAATCTATTCGCCCATAAACACCTCCATGAACATTTCCACTATTACAAGAACGATAATCTCATCAAATAACTTTGTTTTCTTTACGATAGTCCCAGCCAATGCAAACAAAACTAGGAAAGGGCATGAAGCAAGAGGAATCCCACAGGAAACACAAGGAAACTAATAGGAATGTCGGTGGTGGTGCTGCCTAACCAAGCCCAATCAAAGCAAGAACAAACAAAACGAGAAACAATGAGAGAAAACGTATATGCACAGTTGCAAGTGGCTACCAAATCCAGACCTCAAAAAGGCTCAGTTTCTGCACTGCAAATACCTGCATAAAACAATAGTTGTAGTTGGTGGATACCAGGGGAGGGGCGGGACCAGACTTGTGATCGGTGCTGCCTCGCCTCAGTTCCCCACAAATCAACGACCTGGGCGCCATGGCCGTGATGCCACCATTTCTGTCTAGGTTTTAGCCGGAAGTAACCTGGAAAAAGTGGTACCTTTATCAACCAAACAAGAAACCAACAACAAATCACCATCCAGTACCTCCCAAAGATGTTGTCTGGATGGTGCTAGTGCAGAATTCTCGCAGCCAGGTAATCACTGGAGCGGTTTGGAACAAAGGTGTCAGCATTAGTGGCCAAGCAGGCTAGGGCCTAGGATCACAAGAACAAGGACAATCATAACTCACTTGAATCATGCAAAAATCAACAGATTCAAAACACTTTCAGTGGAAGAATTGAATGCATTGTTGACAATCAAGTCCACCCTTTTCCATTCTCGATGTCCATCCTCCATGGTCTCGATGTGGTCAAAAACAGTACAGACTCCCCCTTCCACCATGCTCTCCGGCTGCGATGTGCTGCGATGTGCGTGAAGGCTGGACACCGCCAGTTGGGCTTCCGGACAGGAGGGTGGACTTTCCAGAGCCTAGGCTCGGTGTCTGCCGGTGGCGCCATTTGGCCTGAGCCCCCTCAAGGATTCTACAACCCAGTTCTTTTCGGGAACCAAGTGTTTGTGAACTGTTTTTTCACTGCAAAAGGTGTAGGCAGCAACTCCTACACCTCCAGGTCCTTATATGAGGCTTATAATTACTACTCGCCACGGAAAGCAGCTTGAGGGACCCAAAAGGGCATTCTTGAGTTCAATCGAATCACATTGAGCAAACATATCGGCCCATGTTCACTGAGCTGTTCTTTTCGATCCACGACCCAGGTTTGCGCCGTTTGCCTCCAAACTATATTTGACCATTCCTTGACTGTTCAAGACGCCATGGGTCTCCCATCCAAGGTAGCAGGGTTCTCTTTTTGTGCAATTTGGAATGGCTTTGGGAGGAGTCAGATATCCCAACTGACTTCATGAAAGTACTGAACAGCTAGGCCCTAACCTCAACCTCATCCGAACTCATCGCCGCTGTCTGGGCCAGTCAAATGGATATGATATACAAGTGCATTACTACCAGTAACAAGAAACTACGAACGTAGCGATGCACCTAGCTACTAGCTTCTTGCTACGACCAAGTGTGGCTGTGCTTTTTGAACTGACCCTCCCTGACCCTCAAGGCCCAGGCCATTGGGCCCCACGATGGCGATCCGGCTTTGGGTGGTGACCTCGCCGGTATGCACGTGCGTGCCGGTAAGATCGGTATGGCTAGGGGAGGTTTTAGAGGGACAAGGCGTTTCTGGGATTGGAAGAAGGACTTAACATGGGTACAAAATCATACAAGGACTTAGCATGCCTTTTCATGTTTCTCACGTCATTGTCACACTTTTTGGAGGGTACCGGTAGTAATAAGGATTCTTGGTGAGGAATGATGGGCATTCTTGTTTTGAATATGTTGGGCAACGTTTTGTAAGCATAGACCATCATAGACCAGGATCTTAATGTTTCATAGGGTTCTGGTTCAAGGCATCTGGCAGTTATATACGTGCAACAGAAAATGCTCATCCCTGCCAAAACAATTCCTGCCAGCAGCATTTTCTAGAAAATCCGGGCCGGGTGGGTTGTCAAAGGGATTTGATCTTGCCATGAGAAGGATGATTATCTAGCCAAACAAATGGGCTCAAAAATGGTAAAGTGAGAAACATGCAGCTAAACCAAACAAACAGGCTGAGACTGAGAACCGTATGTAGTCCAAACGGCTACCCACAATAAAGTGCAAACGGCTACTCGCGCAAATGGTTGTTCCCATCGTATCCGGGATACTCTCCGTTTCAGCTTTGTGCCATCCACAAACCTCGTTCTTCCCACAGCTCGCAAAATGATCTGAGGATACGTTTGCATTAGTACTTGGGGTACTTGAACGTTCGAAGACTCTGGCCGACTCTGGTCCGTCCTGACTCCGGGACCGAAGCGAAGCAGTTTTGCTGCGGTACTCCCTGCCTTGCCACTCACATGTTTGAGAGTGTAATCTTTGGCCATCAAGTACCTCACAAGGTCAAGCCATTCTTCAAATCCTAATTCATCTGTGCGCAATCATGGGAAGGCCAAAATCTTCACTCCGTAGTCTCGTCAGGTGGGACTTCCACCGGTTTAGGCAGAGCGTCGTCACTGTCATCCTCACAAAATCAAAGCAAAAGGCTGACAGAGCTGGGTGTGGGTCTTGCAACTGTCTGGTTCATCCTTCTGACGCGATGTTCAGAGAATAGGATGCTAAGGCAACAAAGATGCTACCCATGATGATAGTGGTGGGCGTGTCAGTTGCAACCGCTCACCAAAAAACCGCAAGTGCCACCCCAACATCCATAGCAAATCAATAAACTGCGCACCTAAAAGAGACATCCTTCAGCTCCAACACAGGCTTCCTGATGCTCGTGAGGCCCTCTACCTGTGAATTCCACGGGTCGACCCTGGGTGGGACGGGTCCAGCATGTGTTATGGCTTCCGCGGTCCACCCAGTAAGATCAAGGACCTTTTGGAACCAAGTAGATCCCAATAGTATCTGATCGTATCCAAAATTCCTTCTAAATGATATGCTTGGACACTCTTACCATCCAAAAGGCAGTCTCTTGGAATTCTGCATGGAAGCTCTAAATTTGCTTTGCTTTTGCTGTCTAGACCTAGACGGCAGTGGAGCACAAAAGCATCCACCTGCAGTTGCGTTAAGAGTGCCACGGGGCCCAGGACTAGAGACCATGTGTCTCATTTCATTTCATAATCCCCGAATCGGCTTACCGGAAAATCTACAGGAAACTCCAGAAACCCATAGTTTTGGGGAAGCTACTAGGAACAAGTGCATCGCTACTAGTAACAAGTGCCATACTAGTAGTAACAAGAAGCTATTAGAAACAATAAGCTAGTAGTAAC